GAAATTATAAAAGGTTATTTTTTTGAAACATAAAAACTCTGATAGAGGTATATATATGTATGTATAAATATAAACAAAAGGGTTAAAGGGCTTTGCAAATAACCTTATAGCGATATAATATATACCATTAAGTTAGTCATCCCAAAGATATATGAAATCGACACCCATATTGTATACAAAAAATATATAATAAAAAAGTTAAAAATCATCCCTTTAAAATAAATATGGCGTCAAACAACCCCAAAAATCAGGTTTAACATAGTTGAAAACTATTTTGTAAATATTATGTAAATTATCGTATGTAAAAAAAACAATTCGTTAATGTAAAATGGTGATACTTATTTACCACCCCTTAATCCCTAATAGGGGTTGTTCTCCCTTCTGACATACATGAAGGTTTGGTACCAAAAAAAATCAAATCTACTTATTTTTCTAAAAATTTTGGTGCATGATTCATACATGCCTCACTTTTTTGCAAGCGGATTACACATTTAAAAGATAAAAAGATAAAAAAATATAACATTTTAAACTTGATCAAAAATTTTTCAGTTGTGTTTTTTTGCATCTGAGTGAATAATTTTTTAGAGTAGGATTTTTAAAAAAATATTTTTTGTTTCGTGCATATTACTGAAACTTGCGTTCAAAAGATAGTTCAATCGTTTTCTATTAAATGGAACTGAATTTCATTTCTAATTTACAATTTTGTTGTCACTGAATAGAGAAAATATTTTAGTAATTCATGACCAAAAAAAAAATTATGATCAAGGTGACTTTCCATGAAATATTAAATACTAAATACTTCTTTATTAGGTCACTTCTATCTTGAAATATTGTGTAAATTACTGTTAATTATTTAGATACAAAATTACGAAACCGCTAATGTATTTCAATTAAAAAACATAATTACAAAATAAAAAAAGATTTAAAAAACGAGAAAGATAACTTTTCCAATTTGAATAATTCCGAGGAACAAAGAGACGAGCCATTTAAATTCAGAGCGAATTGTACGAAGCCATTTCATGAAAAGGTCGCGTTTTCATAACGTCACGATACTTTCGTCATGGGAAATCCCTACGGAATAAAGGGATGAGAGAGTAATCCTCCCTTTCTCTAAACAATCTTGACAGAGTACCTGCACTTTTAATCACAACAAAAATAAAAGCATAATCTTCGGTTTTTATTAAACAGTTGTATTTATTGGGGAAATAATATTGTGAAATCAATATTTTTATTATTAGCAAAAGATATTGTAGTCATAGCGGATTTGACAATCAATAAGTTAGGTTTGCATAGCTGTTATTTACTGGTTGAATATATTAAATTGTAAAGCGTTTATATCATTGAACATATAATATGGAGTGATTCAACAAAGCACCAGATAGAAATGTGTTTTATCAACGATGTATCGATATTGCTTTTCTGCACTTCCATATTATTCTATTTGTTTTAAATCTAGTGAAATATCTCAGTAGCACACAAATAATATTATAGTTAGAGTTATATATTTTCATTTTGGTAATGATACTTCGTATAAAGTAGACTAAGTGAGAATCATACTATACCAGAATTATGCAGAGTAATAATATTAAATTTTTTATAAAAAGTAGTAATAATAAAAAGGCTAAAGTAGTAATAAGATTTCTGTTGCAAAAATTAAAATAATATTTTTTTTGCTATTTAATATCTAATAATAGATAAAAATTAGATATTAATAGATATTAATTAGTGTTAATTTTTGGTAAGTTTTATGTCAATTTTTAGTAAATGACGACTAGAGATTAACCTAGCAAAAACTATTATCGATTGTCATTCTCCAGTCGCATTTGGCGCCGTTTTTTTCGATCACACGGTACTTTGTATAAGAAGTCTAACTGAGAGTCATACATCAGTACGATTATGCATAGAAATACATTTTTAGGTTACAAATATATTAAAACAATTTTTATTTGAACTAATTTAGTATGTAAAATGTAGGTAATCATTTTAGAAAGTAATATTAATTTCTTTTTTTTTACTTTCTAAAATATTAATTTCTAAAGGTGCCAGGTGGCGTAGAGGTACAGACTCTCGTCTACCAATCTTAAGGTAGTTGGTTCGAATCCCACACCCACCACACAATTTTTATTAAATAATAATAGTTTGGGTACCTAGGTCGACTCAGCCTTAAATGAGTACTTGGGAATCACAATCCTGAGGTAATAATAGGCGGTTGAAGCGTAGTGCTAGCCACATTACCTTCCTTGTATACCGAACTGCTCTAGTATGGAAACCTGTACCTTGCTACTCCCAAGGCGTTAAACGCTATATACAGGAGCTATTATTGTTATAATATTAATTTCTTAGAACTTGTCACTAATAGGTAGTTCTGCTTTCTAATTTATCTTTTTTAAAGTTATAGGAACACGATAAGCGATATCGTACTTTAATACTTTTATTCTATAAATACCGAAATACAGGGTGGCGCACCTCATTCGCCTTGGTTGATTATACGAAAACGGAAAGATGTAGAAACAAAATATTTTATGAGTATATGTGGGAAGGCAATGCGCATAATTTAAAATTATTTTGAAATGTACAGGGTGTATCAGAACTAAGATCTATACCAAAGTTATATTTTTTCTTATAGAACACCCGGTATTTTATTTCATTTTTGGACTCTTGGATATAAAATAATTCATTTATTATAAGAGTTTATTATGTTTAAAATCTTTGGTTTTTGAGATATTTAAAGATATTTAAATATGCATGCTATAATAAAAAAGTTTGTCACACAAAACACTAATGTACAAAATACCTTGTACATTACTTTTCAGAATTAATTTTTGTGCTAACCCTCAAGCCGGAGAAATAAACTTTACTAAAAAATTTGATTGCTTCCTTAAATATATACAGGGGTATCAAAAAGTGCTGGTCTATTTTAAATATTTATTTTACATAAAAACTTCGTTATTTCAAATGCAACACTATGTATTTTGTAAATAAGTCGAAGCAGATTTAAATGCTCATTCAAACTCTATTAGGGTTTCCTATACCTATCTGGCTCAGATTTTGAATAAAACGCGATTTTTCACTAAAATTGTAATCAAGATGGCTGGTGTCGCCATGGCAATTTTCTAGTGACACTTAGTAGCTATTTTCAAAATCGAAAAACAGGTTATTATCATTTAATTTACATACAATAATTTTAATAAGTAAGTATATTTTATTTTATTAGGAAAAATGAAGCTGTATCTGATGGGGGAAGGAATAGATATGTTACTATATAGTAATTTTATTTGCTTCTTGGCCTGAAGGGTTTATGCTCAAAGATAGATAGATAGGAATATAGATAGATAATAGGAATTTTCTTGACAAGCGTCTTTAAAAAACTACTTTTCCTATTTCGCAGAGCTGATAGTGTGGTATATGAAAAACCTATTAAGCAGAAATCTGTCTTTGGAAGTGAAGAAAATGAATTTGCCGTAATTGGTCCTTTTATAGAAAATCCAATATATCTACAAGTCATTGTAATATAAATCAAAGAACTACTTGTCTATTTTTCTTGATAAAATAATAAATACTTACTTATTAAACTATTGTAGGTAAATTAAATAAAAGAAAACTGTTATAAATTTAAATAAAGGCCATAAACTAATGCCGATTTTGAAAATAGCTACTAACTGTCACTTTTTATTCAAAATCTGAGAGAGATAGGTATAGGAAACCCTAATATAGTTTGAAGGAGCATTTAAATCTGCTTCGACTTATTTTAAAAAATATATAGTGTTGCATTTGATATAAGGAAGTTTTTATGTAAAATAAATATTTAAAATAGACCGACAATTTTTGATACCCCTGTATATATTTAAGGAAGAAATCAATTTTTTTAGTAAAGTTTATTTCTTTGGCTTCAAAGTCAGCACACGAGTTAAATCTGAAAAGTAATGTATAGGGTGTTGACAAACTTTTTTATCATAGCATGCATATTTAAATATCTTTAAATATCTCAAAACCTAAAGCATTTAAACATATTAAACCTTTATAATAAAAGCCTTATCAAAAGAATCCAAAAAAGAAATATAATACTGGGTGTTCCGTAAGAAAAAAATATAACTTTGGTATGGATCTTAGTTCTTACACACCCTGTACATTTGAAAATAATTTTAAATTATGTACATTGCCTCTCTACATATACCCATAAAATAATTTGTTTCTACATCTATCCGTTTTCGTGTAATCAACCGAGGCGAATGAGGTGCGCCACCCTGTATATTAAGTAACAAAACGGATATACTTAAAAATACGTGTTTCCGATTTTTAATACGCTGAATATCTTGTGTCAACAACTGGTTTTGTGTTAATATATAATATCTATCTACAGATTGGCCAGAGAGAGCAAACATGATTCCGATAAACGACACTTAAAAAAACAGAAATACGATGAACGTTTGTATTATTAAAATTCAGTTACCTAAAACTACTGTCATATATTTAGTCGATGAATAGACTATATCTACCGATATACCTCAATTGATAATTATATATAAACGATACCAATTAAACTTATAGTTACGTAATCGAGGGCGCGATTTTTAAAGTCATTGTTGCCAACCATGAACATATTTGGTGCCAGGATGACTAACCGGAATTTAAATTTCCCGCTGGAGATTCAGGTGGTAGCTGTGCTATAAAAAATGTCAAGTTCTGACACTTTAGTTTTGTATTACGAGTTTTTGGTTTAAAATAATTGTGTTGTGGAACTTTAAGCTTAAAAAATGTTTAATAGCAGATCTTGCAGTCGAACATTATTTTTTTTAGAATCTCTTTTAGTGCGAAGGGTACAAGATAACTTAATAGCCGTAAAAAACTCTTCGCAACTTAATTAGAATATTTTGAACGGGAAAGCGATAGTAATAGACCTTTATGTCCCTTGAGTGCTGTTAAGAAAGTGAGTTTTGTAGATGTAAATAACGTGACTAAAAGTTCATTTGGTATGATCTATATGTATTTTACTTACGTACCTGTCGCTTGAGACAAATATTACTTCAAAGTTGGGTTCCTTTTTCCTTATGAGTTTATAGACTTCTGCGAGTTGTGGTGTAAAAGCTCTACAAGGTGGGCACTATAAAACAAAAAAAATGTTCGTTTAATCTGTATACAGTGTGGTCTAATTTTAAATTTACGTGATTTTAGAATATGTAGATATTAGATATGTATTGCTGAATTAACAATAAAAAAATACGCAAGTATTAACTTAATTTACCCAGTTGGCTGAAAAGTAAAATCCTCTAACTCCCTCTGACAAATCTCTGTATTGCAAATCTTTTTGAATGCCTTTTGGATGTTCCTGGAAATACGTGCCTCCTGGTTGAAGAACAACATCCTTAAGAACCTAGAAAATGTATAAATAATATGACAAGAATAAATTGTAGTCTGTTTAAAAAATACATTAATTTTCAGACACACTCTTTAAAATTTATAGATATGTATTTATTCTTGTGCATACGATACGTCCAAAAAGTTTTATGATCATGAAGGCTTTGATCTTAATATATTTACATAAATTTATTGTAATTTCCCATAAGAATTATTTGTCTATCAACATACAAAGATACAAAGAAATCTTTTGAACATAAAATTTTGATTACATTGCACCTTTAAACTTGTATTGAATTTGATACAGCTCATGGTAGTCAGTGTTAATTTTTTCCTTTTTACGACTGGCAGGTTAATTATATTTCATTTTATACTAACTGTTCTATGTAGTGCCTCCGAGTGAACAACCTAACCTAACCTAATTGCATAGATAAAGGAAATAAATTTAGATTGGAAAGCCCGTCAAAGTATATAATTATTTTGGGTCGCGACCGTTGTACGCGATCTGGCGCTGCTATAGCGGTTGCTAAGAACAACCACAAACAATAACAGAACTTATGTCAAAGTCAGAATCTTCAAAAATTATAAAATCTTTCAAAATTTCAACCGCCCTCATTGAAATAATACCGAAAAGTGTTAAAAGCGTCCATTCTCAAAGTAATTATTACTATCTTGTGAGTTTAATTCAAATTTTACTTACTCAAACCCGTGATCATTGTGAAAAGGTGGCATTAAAAACTAAGAAAAATGTGTTGTGAACTGAAAAACCCATCGTGGATCGTGGCATAACGTCGGTTTTCAATGTTTCATAGGTATTTCACATACATGTCTTTATATAAAATAAATTTTATTGTATGCAACATACTGTATTTTATTTATAAAATTAAAAGAAAATAATTATAAATTTGAATAAATAATATTTGGCGACATAATTCCGGAAAAGGCCGGACCGCTCCGAAATTTTCAAAAGCTTCGGGTCGCGACCGTTGCAAGAATAGCGCCAAACATTGTCCTTATGGGCACTTTCCAATCTAAACTTATTTCATTTATCTATGCCTAATTGTCTTATGTACCTCATCCACTGGTCTCGGCCTCCAAGGAAAATTGATACCATTTGGATCCTCCAGTAGTTTTTCTTGAGCAGATACACTTATGGTTGCCCCGTCTTTGTCTAATAGTACCAAAGTGGGCACTCCGGATTTTATCCTATACCTTCTGCTGAGTCTTGTCTATAAATAAAAACGAAGCTATCTTTAGGATGTGACAAACGTTTTAGTGATTAATGTTGCCTGAAAACTTCTATAATGAAACTATAAAATATTATGTTATTGATGATATAATATGAACAAATTAATAGTCCGTTAAGTTGCTAATCAGTCATATTGGTCAGGGCAGTCGCATTCATTTAGTCATTAGTCACAGTCAACCACTCAGCGAATTTTAGGGATTATTTATTATTTCTAATCTCTCTCATCCTTTTTATTTGAAAAGAGGGTGAAACCTATTATTATCCTATGATTCCTATTATTTCCTACTCTCAATAAATATATCTAGATATACACACAACCAAACTTATATGGAAAATTTATCTATTATGTTTCATAATTTTTGAGACGTATGAAAACATTTTGTGTTTATGAATAAAACTCAGTCCTTACCAATGACTTAATTAAGCAGCAATAAAAAAATAATCAGTTCCAAATATAAACACAATGGTATTTTTTTGGTTTCTGAAATGAAATGAGATTTAAATTTTTGGTCAAAAAGCAAAAACAAAATGAAAGTTGATAATTTTAATAATCCTTGTGGCCACCTCTAGCCCTTATGCAAGCTTCTGTCCCCGCTGGCATGCTTCTTACTAAATTATCAACGTTGTCTTGGGTTATGTTGTCCCATTCTGTTAATGCTGCATCAATAAGCTGTGTAAGATTTCATGGATTGTTTCGACAAACTCTAACCCTTCTTTTGAGCTGGTCCTACAAGTGTTCGATAGGTTTTAGATCTTGTGAACATGCAGGCCAGTCCAAAAGTATGACATCTTCCATTTCAAGACATCCTCTAGTCACTCTGCTGGTATGGGGAGGTGCACTATCGTGCATGATGTTAAAAGTATCCCTAATTGCAGCTCTCCAAAGACTAACGATTAGCACTAAATTGACATATCTCCTACCCGTTTGTTGTCGTTTGTTGAAGTGGTAACAATGAAGTTTTTGCCCCAGCATAATACCTCCCCAGAACTTTACAGGTATTCCTTTATATCTTGGTAATTAATTGGCAGCTTGGAGTCTCGCCCGTCCATAGATAATGCTCGTCTTCCTGGAGCTCTGAGAACCCGAATTGGATGGTCATCTGATCTTAGGCGAATTCTGGTCTCAACCGAAAAAAGAACATTTTGCCAATTCTCAGTTGTCCAGTTTTGATGTTGAAGGCACCAATTTAGCCGGTCAGTTTTATTATGATGACCCGTAACTCTCTTCTGCTGTACAACCCTCGAGCACGAAGCCTTTTTCTTTTGGTTTCAACTGAAACGTTCACACCTTTAGCTACCAGAAGTTGTCTTTGTAGCTCTGGATGAACATTGGAATTTCTTCTAACAATTTAGCCCACAAGGCGGTCTTGTATATCTGTTAATCCAACATAAGACATTTTAATTTTTTTAATTGTTTTTTGTTTAATCGTGATTTTACTACTGAACACAAAATTCACAAGGAAATAAATCGCAACTGTTCTTTATTAACATGTTTATTTACAATAAAAAGCCTTATATTAAAGTTGTATACAAATTTTTTTCTTTGCAGGAAATTTAGTCACAAATAAAGGGCGATTCCATATAAGTTTGGTTGTGTGTATATTCAATGACAGCTTTAAATGTATCCGTCTCTTTGTTCAATAAAGTATGAAAACAAATTTTCCAGTAGACGTTTAAAAATCATTTAAGAAATTTTCCGATTTTCAACAAAAGAGGACAAGGAAACGCTACGAAAGCTACATTAGGCTTTATTATACTTATGGCCATTTACCAGGGAGAAGGTAAAATTTGAAGCAACATTTACGAGTTTTCTCCATTCTCCTTTCTTACAGGTGGAAAATTCTACAATTGTACTTCCGCATTTCGCTTCTATAGGATAGAATAAAAATGTTTGACTGATAAACTACTTTTTGGCAGTAACTATGCGGCACGCTATTAAAATGTTTAGACGTTGTTTATTATGTTACAAAAGAAGAATCTCCCCAGGAGAGATGGCACATGTTTTTTAAACACCAAAGCTTTTTTTCGGTTTATTTGAAAAAACATAAAACTGCAGAAAAACTGAAAAGCTAATTTGGCAAAAGTGTGCGCTGTTCAACCATTCTCGTGGAAATAAAGCACCAGATTATAAAACTTGACCTAAAATATTATACGTAGTGCTTACGCGCCACTTAAAAAAACTAAAGTTTTATAGTGAATCCCCTTAGCAATAATTTTCTCCTACTTCAGGGTTCTTTTATTACGTCGCATAAAGATTACGACTTTCCACTTCAGTTGGCTTTTGCGATAAAAATTTTATTTTAAAAAAAGCTGTAAAAATATATCTCTAACGATTTATTACATAAAGTAGTATTATATTTGCTTTTCTTTTCAATAGAATATTTAAATTAAGAATGAATAAAATGTTTTGAGACTAAATGTATACAGGTTGAGGGTTGGAACTTTTGGTGTTACAACGGCAAAATAAAACACTAATTCACCACAATACACCAAAATATTTTACTTCTGCCCTGGACGCGTGTTTCGCTATGTTAGCATCATCAGCAGATCTAAGTCATATGCAGTCCAAAGAGATATATTATTTTGAACAATTTGTACTCCAGGTTAGGTAGCAGAAATCCAACCAAACGACGGTAGAGAATGAATTGTCGAAATTACAACGCTTAGTTGGTGATTGGTGTTTTTCATTCCACACTGTCAAAATCTATGGAAATCGACTTACCTTCTCTTCAAATTCTTTTGGAAAGAGAGGTGAGTCTTACCGAGAATGCCAAGAAACAATCAAGTTCATACAAAACCGACTAGTAGATGAATTACAGTCGGATGAAGAAGTCGGAAGTCTGGGAATGATCTCAGATCTCACACACACCTGCAACGTCCTGTTTCCGAATAGGGACGAATGGGATATATGACGAGAAACGATTTATTGTAATATTTGGAAATGTATTGATACAAGGACGAAAAATGATCTGGTGCTAGATTTTATTGTAGTTGTCCAAAGACTGAGATCTACTACAGTCTTGGAAAACTCACCACAATTTTGCAAGCTGAGTTATATGCTATTGAAACTTGTGTGCATCTGCTGGTAGAACGGTAATACACCGGGAAAACAATAAACATATTTTCGGATAGTCAAGCCGTTTTGAAAGCGCTTGAGGCAACTAAAAGAACGTCTATGACGATTTTTCATTGTAGAAAACTACTCAATTTATTAGGAGATATAGGAACAAAGTGTCGCTAATATGGATAACGGGACATGTCGGCCTATAGGAAAACGCGCGCGCGAACGTGCTGACACCCAAACCAAAACAAAACAGGTGCAGGTTCGCCATTCGTGGGTCCAGAACCGACACTTACCGTTCCAAAAAATCGCAAGATACAGGTTCTGTGAATGGGTTTGGAGATACGACGTTTCGGGACTGGAAAGGCAGTCCCAGAATAGAACATGCCAAGAGAATCCTAGCAGGGCCATCCAAAACTCTTAAATTGGGGCCACTGCCGGCTGAAATATCACACCTGCAGAGAATGGAAGATGACGGAACCATGAAGCACGATATGCACAAACGTGCCCCGCTGGGAGCAGGAGCAGATTTGAGGTGTTTGGCAAAACCATGCTAGACCTACCAGACATATCACCCTCGGACATACCAGCCTATGTTATTTTGAATGTGGTAGACAATAATTCAGAATTAAAACTAAAAGAATTTCACTGGGGCGCCAGTCTGAAGACGATGCTCTCTCTCTCTCTCTCTCTCCCTCTCTTGATGATTCTATATGTGAAAAGAACATCGGAGAAGATCAGGCGAATAGCTAAGCAGTATAAAATTGTTTTTAAATATGGGACTACTCTGAGAAGTGTCATAATAAAAAAAAACAGAATCAGCAAAACAAGAAAAACAGGTACCTTGTGAGTGCGGTGAGTTGTATATTGGAGAGACTCTACATGTACCACTTGACGAACATAAAATAAACTTATGTGAAGAGGTAAAACAATGAAGTCGGGCATTGCAGATCATTGTGTGGTCCAAGCACCACAACATAAAATGGTCGGATTGTCCACAAAGAACTCCAATGGAAAAAGCGCAAATTTAAAGAGGCCGTACTCATTTCTAACAATAAGAAAATCTTGAACAATCCAAGTATGGAAATTTCAACAATATGACAACCACTTAAACTAAACGTAACTAAAACTTTAAAAAACTTAACTAAAACGGTTCAGTGCTGGTATTCTCAGTGGGGAACTTCATGATTCTCTGCACCAAACTAATTCACGGGTGAATCGGGTCTGCTCTAGTATATGTATAAGCTCAGTAGTTTTAGGATTTAATTTAGTTCACACTTGATAACGGTTAGTGATTCTTCCGAAACGTTGTGTAAGCAAAATAAATAAAGACAATGGAAGTCCGAAATTCTTTTAGTTTGAATATAACAGCCTATGTTAAAAGGTTGGGTCTTGAGGAGGGTAAACTTTAATATTCTTTTTCTTTTAAAGAGTTTGTAGAAATGAGCTACAATAGGCCTCCACTCTTAGTAAATACAAAATCATACTCCCGCTGTTTTAAAAATGTATTTACATAACTTCCTTTTTCAGTCGTGGCATTTTAATAGCCAAACTCTGAAAATCCACTCATCTAAAAGCCTCAGTTTGAACAGGAAATGGAGTTTGTTTAGGGGAACATCATCGGAACAAACAGAGTCATCAATTCGTCTCTGGACCCTTTCGATAAGGTATATGGAATTAAACGAGATGTAATAAAAAAGCAGCCGAATATAGAGAAGAGACATAATCGAGAAAAATAAGATTTATAGCAATAATTTACGTCGAGAACATATATGGGGGAGAACAACGGTTTGTTGTTGATTTCTGTCATTTACGATTCCAGATTCAATTTTTTTTATCGTTAGATAGACTCCTGCTCGCCAAAAGCATTACTGATAAACTAATCTGCTAAAGATGATAAAGTTTATGCTTTAGATTTC